TGAGTCTTGGGATCCGACCAGCTCAGAAACCCACAGGAAGGATATCTAATGCGTCACCCTTTCTAGTGATGAAGAGTTCGTAAACACATGCAGGGATATTCGCTTTACTTTGAGCAAATATATCAGCTAGAGGCCCAGATATGCGTTTGGTAGACTTTATACCACTGTATAAGGCAGCTGCTATGGAGCCTGTCCATTAATGGGAATCCTAATATTGCTCTTGTGTTTTTATTACGATTGACGTGTGTATGCTATTGATCGCCTGTTGGTAACACGGAAATATTTCGCTTTTATTCCGCCAGGCTGATAGATTTCAGCTTAGTTGCACATGGTAACTTGAAATGAACCTGAAAAGGTTTGTATCGAAAGACATTCTTTATGTTCGTGCGCTAATTTTGGGGAAAATTAAAAAGTCCAACAGCAATCACACAACGGACGTGATATATCGTGCAAGCAATTGTGCAGGGTAAAGAAAAATTTGGTCATTAATACAAAGGAAGGGAATTGCTCTCTACCCCAATGGTTCCCACGTCCACATTACAGATTGCAGAGGATATGCTAAAGAACATTCAAAAAGCATTTTGTATCCACGTCATTTACCTAATCTTCTTCCTTCAGACTGCCATTTTTGCAATAGGAGTTTAAAAATCCTTTAGTAGGTAAAGTTTGGCATTCAGAGGCAAAAATGACGATGGTCGGTTTCTTACTGTCCTTCCTTAAACTACATCAAATGTTATGAACAAGTATCATTAATTCTTCTGAAATGTGATATCAAGTTGTAAAAATAAGCAAGAAGAATTGACCGTATGCATGAACATTATTTTCATTGTATATAATTAAAATAAAGCAAATGGTTATCCGACCACAATTGATAAGGTTGATTCAACATGAAATTAGCACCAGTGCTGTAGAAAGACCTCTAGGTTTCACAGTGAATGGTAAAATCCTGATTTGCATTTTTAAGTTAGTTTATGTTTAAGCCTACGTGACAGATTTGCGAGCAGTTTATTGCGTAAATCTAAACTGTGGACAACTAATCATATTCATTAAAACCAGATAAATGCTTATTGTTTCCAGTATTATTTTTATTACTTCAATACATGGCTTTGTTACACGTCTGACTTCCGACAAATATGCGCATAATTATATTACACGGGCGCTATAATTTTCAATTTTTGACAAAGTTTCATTGGTGAAAAAATGGATTATATGCAGAAGAGTAGTGCAAGCCGTGGCTAGGCAGCAATTTCAACACATCTAATTGTTATTTTAGCCATTTAAAAGGGGGATTTGGAGGCTTACTTGATATATAAGTATCAGTATTTTTTAAATGGATCCGCACTATCTAAAAACCTATTTGTCAGCTCAATGTCTTGTTCGTAACCTACAGTAGGTGGACTAACTAATGAAATATCAGTCGAAACTTCGAAATCCGTTCCCGTTTCTAGAAGAATAATTAAGTAGGGTTGTAAAACTAACCATCATACGGCATAATACTATAATAATCCGGTTACATCAGAGTGTAGGCTTTCGAATGGTTTTCTTTTTGACTGTATGCAAGAGCTATACTCTGCGAAAAATGACTACTTACGTAGCATGCAATTTTCTCATTACTTTTCAATGTCCTTAATAATTCAATTACTTTTCATGGAAAGCATGAATAAAATATTCGTTCTTTAGCACTTTCGGTTGAAAATGGCGTCTTCTTCCAATTTTATACTCGAAGGAAGGGTATGATTCGGTTTTCAAAAACTTCCAGGCGGGATGGTAGTTGGTAGCCCTGCCTGTTAACGATCCTTTGCTGCAATTCCAGTTTAAGGCATTACGATTTCAGTAGCTGTGATTACGTTCTCAATATGGCTGGGAATGCACGCGCAGAAGCCCTGTCAGGGTGACTTTCTTGTTCACTTTAACCGCCCCGAGAACGAGGCGCTGCAAAAATGCCTATATAGATTCATCGTATTGCACTCCCCACACGTAAAGCTTTAGTAAAGGGCGAAAGATTTATCCTAGGTGGATTATGATTCATTATGCTTCTCATTCCCATCCTAGGCGGATTGGCGCGGGTCTCCGTATTGTCGGTTTGCCTGCGTCCTTGGGTCTTTTTACTCCAGACCTCCTGCAGAGTCCGGCGTGATCGTGTACGAAAAGGACAACCGTCGCGCAGATAGGGTGTCTACCGATTCTCCACCCACGTATAGCACACAACTATTGCCGTAGTTTTAATTCTAAGTGTGGCCACAGTGGCAATAAACTATTATTTGCGGATTTTCTCTTCCGCCCAAACATATTCTTGGCATTAAAGTCTTATCCCGCTTGCGTTATGCCGTTCTGCGTGCCGCTGCTTGATTCTCGTGTTCTCATGTCCATTCTGTCAGTTTGAGTACTATCGCACATACTGCGGAATGACCTTAAGACACACTGCCTTCTTCCCGTTGGTTGCTCACATTCAGTTGCTATTCTTTTCAGTCTGGGGTAAGGCTGCATTTATTCCGCATACCGTTCTAATTAACCATGCACATTTCCATACCCTTCTTGCATTTTGCACCTTATTTAAATTAGGCTTTCACTTTGGCAGGAGCGTAAATTCCAGGCATACACTACCAGCGCCATTGACGCCTCCACTCATTTGCCCCACCCGTATAGCCCTTATTACCACCGGTCCCGTAAGACAGGTAGCTGCGAGTTTTCGACGTCGGGAGGGCTACCAACTACCATCTAACCCTTTTCCAATTCCCGAACAGTTTTGAACCCGACCTGCCGATACACTTGCATTCAGGGTTTCCAACCTACAAGCCATATATTTTCTGCGTATGGAACACCATACATTTCTCAACGGTATTAAGAGAATACCATGTGGTGTTCATAAAATAAAGCAGCGGATTTTAGCCATATTGTTAACTTTACAAGCCACATTGGTAAATGCATAGACATGAATGGTTATTTCACGGTACTAAAGATCGCACAATTAGAAATTTTTTACAACCGAATTACTCTTCCTTCGAGTGTAAATTTGGAAGAGTTCGCCATTTTCTACCGAATGAGCAGAAGGATGAATATGCTTATATATGGTTTCCATAAAGCATAATTGGATTTTTAAGGGTATCGAAAATCAATGAGAAAACTACATATACCTAAGTAGTCATTGTTTGCAGTGTACAATTCTTGCATGCAGTCAAAAAGAAGTCCATTTGAAAGCCTACACCGTGAGGTAACTGGATTATTATAGCATTTTGCTGTATGATGATTAGTTTTACAACTCTACTTAATTAATCTTTTTTAAACGGGAACAAATTTCGAAGTTTCTGCTGCCATTTCACTAGTTAGCCTACCTACTGTAAAAGCTAACTGAATGTGCGGGAAAATCGCCTCATAAATCTTACCATATCAAAGTGTCTTATAGTGGCTCATTAACATAAAGAAAATTGTTACAGTTCTCATTGCGCTTTATAGATGGCTTGTCCGTCTTCGCCTAGTGATTGGTTTAAGGACATATTTATCTTTCCCAGTAAAGTGCGCTGTCAGATATAATCCACGTTTAAGGTTTCCAATCAGTTTTAAAGCGTGCTACTTACAGCTAGGCGGTAACGTAAACACGCGCCTTTGCGCAAACGATTACCTCTGATTTTCTTCATAAATTTTTGTAAGGTGTCGCCTTTTTACTAATTACGACAATAACAAAAACTAAATTTGATTTGAAGTCCAGTATTGTCAGCTGAGTATCTTAGTGCTTTCTCGTTATGTTTAAACACTTATGTTCTTGGCAGGGAACCCGGTGTCAGGGAACTTCCAGCGCATACCAGGCTGCGAGGACCATGGTTTGCTGATACTGGAATAGCACACGCTTTCAAACCTTTTACCTAGAAGAGCAACGCGTGGCCCTGCATTTAGACTGGGGTGTCATCCTTCGAGGTTCGGTAACCCGACAGTCGTTGATTGAGGGGCAATACCCATAAAGAACACACACAAACACAAACATTCATTTTACATGCATGAGAGTGTCAGAGATTGCTTGAGAAGTGGCCGTGACAGTCTGGCTCTCAGTCCAACAGTCCGCCAATACAACTGGGTAGACTGCGTGGTCTGAGTTGGGGCCTCAGTCTGCTGCCTTCAGAGCCACGGCGTTCGACGCACCGTCTCCGTCTCAGACTCCGATCAAACATGCAGCAGGGAAGCCGCATGGAGAAAGAGCCGAGACGCACACTTACCACTTGTGTGGGAGGTGGAAGTTGGGTGCTTGTGGTGGCCGATGATGATGTGCGGTGAGATGCAGGTGAGGGAGAATGTGATGGTGTGGTTTAGCTGGCGGTTGTCTACTGCAGGTTTTCGTGGACGCGCAAGTGGCCTAATGGACCCATGAGATGGATAAATGTGCGAATGCGCTGCGGACAGTGGAGGCGGATGTGGCGAGTGCAGGTTGGTACTATAGGCACTGGTCCACCAATCTCTGTACAATGGATCCTCAGGTGACCGACTAGGCCGATGCGTAGGGTGAATGTGTGGGGACAGTGTGGATGTGAGAAGTTGGCGATGTCAGTACCAGCTCCGATGATGGTGATGATGGAGCTGGTGGTAGTGGACATGCTAGACGACGAATTGTGGGTTGGGCTGATCACGGTGGCTATGCAAAATGTACTGGGTGTGATGAAGCTGGTGTCGGGCGGCGCGCTGGACGGCGGAGTGATGACGGGACTAGACATTGTAGGTGTGCTGGATGTGTCGGGTTGCGGTCAATTCCCCTCTCGTGCATACGCACGTGGCTGAACAGAGCCATGCGGGGCATGAATGTGCGAGGGCAGTGTGGGGAGTGGAGGCGCGTGTAGGTCAGTACTCCAGGCACTGGTTCGCCAGTCTCTGTGCGATAGATTCGCAAATGACCGACTAGGCCAATGTGGGAGGTGAAGGTGCAATGAGGACAGGCATAGACCGGCTCCTCATTACTGGTGTTGACGGTGATGGTTTTGGTGTTTGCTGGTGTGTCACGATTGTGTGTAGTGTTGATGGACATGGCAGACGCCAAAGTGGCAGCTCTTGAGGCGTTAGAAGTGGATGATGATGATGATGATGATGATGATGATGATGATGATGATGATGATGATGATGATGATGATGATGATGATGATGATGATGATGATGATGATGATGATGATGATGATGATGATGATGATGATGATGATGATAGTGGAGGTTGGGGAGGGTGATCATCCTTAGTTGACGGCGTAGGAGGCGATGGAGAGGTGGACGGAGAGACGACGATTGATGCAGTCCAGGCGCTGCAGTTGACCCGCAATGTCCGTTAACATTGTGCACACGTTGAAGTCGGTTTGGCGTTGGCTTGTGAGGCAGCCGCGGCGGCAGTTGAGATTTGCATGTCTTGCATCTGGCTCTGGCGGTGGTGATGTGTTTAGCTTCGAAGACTGCTGTGCCTGTCTTCACTGTTCTTCTCCACGTTGGTCGGTCCCGGACGAGGTCTTCCCAGTTTGTCGGGTCGATTTGCAGACGCTTCAGGGAGGTTTTCAGAGTATCCTTGAATCGGTGGATTTGACCTCCTTGTTGACGTGAAACCGTCACAACATTTCCATAGAAGAGTCGTTTGGATTGCCCCTCGTCGTCCATCCGTACAATGGCCGTTCCAGCACAGTTGTAGTTGTCTCAGCATAGTGTAGACGCTGAGAATTTTGTCTGTTCCAGTACGTCTGTGTCTGGGATTTGGTCTTTCCACTTCAGATTCAGTATGCGGCGAAGACAGCTGAGGTAAAAGTGGTAGAGTCTACATGCCTGCATCATGTACATCATCCAAGTCTCTGCTCCATACAGCAACGTCGATAGGATGACAGCTTTGTTCTCGTTCACTCTGGTGCTGAGATGGAGACCGTGACGATTCCAAACTGTGTTTCGAAGACGACTGAAGGCTTTAATTGTCTTAGGAATCCTGCGGGCCGTTTCATCGTCGATTTTAATGCTGCCCAGATACGTGAAGTTTTCCAGCACTTGCAGTTGGGCGCCGTTCACGTTGGTTTAGGATGCGACGTACGCTGCGTCGGGTGACGGTTGGTGCATGACCACCGTCTTCTCCGTGTTTATGATCGCACCGAAGTTCTCGCAGGCGCTGAAGAAGAGATATATGCTCCTTTGCATATCTCCTTCAGTACATGCATTGAGGGAGCAGTCATCGTGGACGGTGGTTATAGATACACGTGACTGGAAGTGCATCCGCTGCTGACTGAGGAGGTGACCGTCCGTCCTGTAGGCGATGCGAATCCTGGGGCATTCGTCACGATAGGCGTCCATCAGCATACAGTTAACATGAGACTAAAGAGGGTAGATACGAGGACGCAACCCTGCTTCACTTCGTTGGTCACTGCGAATGCCTCTGAGACAGCTCCATTGTCCGTGGCTCGCACTATTGCGCCATCGCGGAGCTGATGCACCATCTGAGTAAATCGTTCGGGAGAGTCAAATTTCTGCATGATTTTCCACAGTCCGTCATAATTCATCGTGTTGAAGGCTTTTGTCAGATCCACGAGGGATAATAGAGGTAGGACCGCATCTCCTGACACCTCTGCAATTGGCGGACGGCGACGATCATGTCGGTGGTCCCACGATGACGGCGGAAACCGCACTGGCTTCCCGGCAGGAGACCTTGTTCCAGATGGTTGCTCAGGCGGTTGATAAGGATGCGAACAAAGATGTTCCCGGCGATGTTCACTAAGGAGGTTCCTCGATGGCTGTCGCAGACCTGACAGTCACCTTTTCGCTTATAGGGATGACCGAATGTGACGTCCTTGAAATCCCGCGGGAATCCTACTTGATGTCACATCTCCGTCACAGCGCCATTAGATGATCCTTGAGATGGGGCCACCGTGCCTTTTGATCTCAGCAGGGATCGTGTCTGATGTGAGTACTTTCCTGGTGGAGAACTGTTGTACGCCCCTGATGGTTTCTTGGACAGAGGAAGGGAGGTCGAGGTCGGTGTTGGTCTATGCATGTGGTATACGGGGGACGGCAGCGTCGGGGATGATGGAAGGGCGGGTGAGGCGGCTCTGATTTGTTCGGCCCATCGCCGTACACTTTGTGTCTTCTCATCGAGTAGGGTACTGCCGTCGACGTTGAGAAGTGGTGCAGTTGCTTTAGCTGGTGGACTGTAGGCAACAGAAGCGAACCGGCGAGTTCCAGGTAGCAATTCAGAAGACAAAGATGCGATCACTGGAACAATCAATTTATTTGCCTGACGTTTCGGATCCTCACTCGAATCCATCATCAGAGACATTCGCAGATAAAGGTGGTGGTGGCACCAGGAGTGCAGTATTTATAGAACGTGGCTGCCGTGGGACCGTACGCGCGCTGCAATTAACAGTTCTCGCAATCACCGCTGGGGTCGTAATTGATGCGGTGGTGGCTTGTCCGTCCGAGTCCGAGTAGTTAATGGCCGCGATTTCGTCATCCGTGAAGGATGCTGATGTGACGATTGCTCGGCAAACTGGCTCACTGTCGCCGTGATGATTGCTCGCCCGCGCCCTCCCCACGTGACTGATTCTCCTGCCCAGGGAAAATCGCAGTACGGAATAAGGTACCGGGAGGTCATTGTGCTTGTTTATGGATTGCGGGCCTGAGAACCATGACTCGAGCAGCTCGCGGCTCACGCGGTTGTCACACCTTGCGAGGATTTCGGCCTCTTGAAATTTGAAAATATGGCCGGGTCCCGTGGAGTGTGCCGCCACCTGAGAGTTAGCGTCTCCCCGCCTCACTGCTGCTGCGTGCTCGGCAATTCGGGTACGGAGTAATCTCCCAGTTTCTCCGACATAATTGCTTTGTCCGCAACTACACCAGATCCGGTAAACGACTCCAGACGTTTCCTGCCGTGGCAGCGGGTCTTTTGGCCTCATGAATTGGCGCCTAATGGTTGCTTCCGGCCTGTGTGCAACCCCAACTCCAAGTGGAGTAAGAAGACGACTGAAGGCTTCTGAGACGTTCTTCACGTACGGAAGAGCCTGCCAAAATTTGGGGCCGGTTGGATTTGGTCTCTGGTGTCCTTTTCGTATGCACTGGTTGACAAAGTTGCGCGGGTAACCATTGGCTCTCATTACCCGTCGAAGATATTGTAATTCAACAACTGCTCGAGTCATGGTTCTCCGGCCCGCAATCCATAAACAAGCACAATGACCTCCCGGTACCTTATTCCGTACTGCGATTTTCCCTGGGCAGGAGAATCAGTCACGTGGGGAGGGCGCGGGCGAGCAATCATCACGGCGACAGTGAGCCAGTTTGCCGAGCAATCGTCACATCAGCATCCTTCACGGATGACGAAATCGCGGCCATTAACTACTCGGACTCGGACGGACAAGCCACCACCGCATCAATTACGACCCCAGCGGTGATTGCGAGAACTGTTAATTGCAGCGCGCATACGGTCCCACGGCAGCCACGTGCTATAAATACTGCACTCCTGGTGCCACCACCACCTTTATCTGCGAATGTCTCTGATGATGGATTCGAGTGAGGATCCGAAACGTCAGGCAAATAAATTGATTGTTCCAGTGATCGCATCTTCATCCTCTGAACTGTAGGCAATTTTGATCGTGACGAAGAAGTTCTTTCATTTGGTGTGGTCCGCCCACTCTTAGATCTCCTCGGTCGCGCGAGTCGTCCAGGCGTCCTGCATCTTGCGCAACAGTTGTTGCACAAGGCGGCGACTACGTTAGAAGGCTGCTCTATTTTCCCCAGTCGGTCGGTCGACGTAGGTTTTGTGCCAACGGTTCATCTAGGCGAGCAGGTTGCAGATGGGGGCATCGCTGTCATCAAACCAGTCCTGGTGTTGTCGGTGTGCACGACCGAGGATGGTCAGAGCCGTCGACTGGACTGTGTCCCTCAGTTCACACCATCGGCTCTCCACGGAAGCGTTCTCATCAGTGGCGGAAGCGGCAGCAGCGACTGGAAGGTAGGCCAGCCGTTGAGCTAATTCATCGCTGAAATGGATATGGTGAGCAGGCAAAGACAATAAAGCAATATTCAGCTTACCTGGGGGTCGCTCTCCTTGAAGTCTCCTGCGAGGCTATAGGCGAATCCGCATCTTGGAGATGACGAGACGATGGTCAGTGTACCCGCTGGCACCCGGAATCGTCTTTGTCACAAGCACGTCCCGCTGATCCCACCTCTGGACGAGGACATAGCCCAGTATATGCACATGTACCGACCGAGGGTTCATCCAACTGGCCTTCTCTCACATGGGAAGGTGGTTTCATCTGTTGCTATTCTCGACGACCAACAGTCTTACAAATCCACGTCTTCCTCGCGAGTCAAATCGATGATTGGTCAACTAACCGGACTCCTGAACCGAATCAAACGCAACAGTGCGATATCGCTAGACGAATGGTGACAGATGTAACCAACGGACACGGCACTAGTCCGGTTTTATGGACTACCCAAAATCCACAAGCTAATGTTCCCCTTCGACCGATCGTTACCATGAAAGGCAGCCCCACTAACAATCTGTCCAAGTGGATGGCTCGAAAACTTAACTTTCTCCGAGAAGGCTCGAGGACTTCCATCAATTCGGCCTCCCAATTCCTGGCCAATATCGGAGGAGAAGTTGTCCGACCGGATTAAATTATGGTCCTTTGACGTGGTTTCATTATTCACAGCCATCCCACCGGACCTGGCACGCGACGTTCTTCGCAAACGACTCGAAGAGCACTACGACGAAACGAACAGGCCCCTAAAAAGCGATCACGTACTGCAGCTGTTTGCTTTCTGCCAACAAACCCATTTCACCTTCAATGGCAGAACATACGAGCAGACCAAAGGAACGCCGATGGGTTCACCAATATCTAGCCATGTTGCAGAAATAGTCCTGCAGGAGCTGGAAAAGGTCGCCTTCGACCACTATAAACCTGCATTTTGACGCCGGTACGTGGATGACAGGTTCGTTATAATTGAAAGGAGCAGACTGGCCGTCTTTCAAGACCTGCTTAACGGCAACTTCCCGGACATTCAGTTCACAAGGGAAGAAGAGCATGCCGAACAGCTGTCTTTCCTTGACGTTCTCGTCACAAGCACACCCAACGACGAGCTCAACACCACGGTGTACAGAAAGGCGACTAACACGACTCAGATTCTCAACTACCATAGTAACCACCCAATGGCGCATAAACGCAGCTGTGTTAGAACACGCTTCCAAAGGGTAGAAACGCACTACTGTGAGCCATAGGGACGAGTACGAGAACTTCGGCATGTTCGGAACCAACTGGCAAGGAATGGATACCCAAACAGCTTCGTCAGCCGCTGCTTCCGCACACGCCCATGGCGAACGAACGGAAGAGAGCCGTCAACACTCTGGCACCCTCTACCATATATAAAGAACGGGTCCGAAGCGATGGAACGTATCGTTGAAGAGCTCGGCGTGAGTATCGCTCACCGTCAAACAGCAGCCATGCGCAACCAAATCATGCGAATGAGGGATCGACTAGACGTGGGAGAACGGTTGGGTGTCTTTTATCAGATCCCATGTCGGGACTGCCCTCGCCACTACACAGAACGGACCGGACGACGACTTGGCTCACGAATAACGCAGCATAAGCGGACGGTCCGGAGAGGCGACGCGTTGTCTCATGTCGCCACTCACACCCTGGAGGAAGCCCTCGACCTACTACCATTATTTGTAGTTTGCACAGAAAGGAGGCGATTTATCGCAAGATTCCTTGAAGTACTACTTATCCAGTAGCTTTTTTGTCTAAAACCTTATTGTGCTCCTAGTGTAAAGCGTATCCCTATAGGCGTTTGCTTCAAAATGGCTGCACTAGTGTAGTCGCGAAAGTGATGCCTCATTTGGGTTTTGGAGTAGCCTTCCACTGCGACGCGTTTAATGTAAGCAGCGAATAGGAGCAGACAAAATGAGAGACTGCATTAAATACAGTAGGTGGCCTTATGGACGAAGGATTAATAATCACCCACAAAGCGGTAAAAATGCATAAAGCCAATTGAAAAGGTGTTTGAAAACATATAATATATACTAAAAATAATATTACGTAGTGTAGAAATGCCCACTTTCCAGAGAAGTGGAAAGTCCCAGGAATGTCAGAAATGGTCGCAGTTTAGTAAACATCAGGTTTTGACGCTCAGAAAGTCTATGTCAACAACTAAGAAAATGCGGCAGCACGAATAAAAAAAAGTGCTCGACAGTAGTCTTTGAGATAAGTTCGCATCTAAATATCCTTTCAAAATTAGTGAAATGTCAGCTATGTCGGTTTACTAACAGCCCACATTCTGAGTATAGATTCCAAAACTATTTCCCAAGAATTCGTCGTCTATCCCGCGATTTTCATTAGTTGAGATGCGGTACAATAAGGCAAATAGGACCTTGTTTGATTTCGTAGACGAATGCACATTGGAAAGAAAGTTTTATAATCGCACATGTTTTCAGGCCAAACGTTACTAATAAATTTAAGAATATTTGACATATGTGTTTGTAAGCATATGATTTTGTGTATAGAAAGAAAACTTTTCTTTCGCGAAGAAAAATTGCACCTAACCTTTAAATAACCTCACGCTGAATTTCGTATTGGTCTTGAAACATTGCTGGATACTTCAAGAATTTCAGTGTTTTCAAATGCCAGTCCATAGAGACAGATTCTGTTATATGCAGTCATTAAAAAATTTATGTTAGTATACGTCTTGAGGACGGTGAACGCAGTAGCGGATGTTAAGGTGTTATTTTTCAAGTAACTGGTCGTTTGAGTCACATTTAAGGACTCACGTAATGTGAAATCTCATCTTCGGAAAAAATGAACGTCCGCAACGAAAGTCAACAACGAATGTGTCATCAACCAATTATAAAAATTCCTTCAATAATTTGCCTTTTTAAGGAGTACTTAGCCACTGCATTCCACTGGCTAGTGTCTGTGTACTTTACATTTTTACTCGTTTTTGTCTCCCTTTCGGTTGAATTAGTCGACAGGCCGTGTTTTCTCTGTATTCTTAAGCTCCGTGTGACTGTCTTGTCCTGATCATTTCGTATTTAGTGACGTAGTGACTTTTGAAAATGCATAACGCTCTTGGTTAATCGAAAATAACCTGTGTCAGCAAACTGATTCCCACAATTAACATCAGACCAGAAGATCCACTTCAAAGTGCGACAAGCTCTGCTTGTTAAATCTCTCGAGGGAATCTTGTCCTCCCTTGGAAGAAAAACGTGCTCAAATACGCAATATTAGTCAATAAAATTGCTCAAATATACCACATAGTCCATTTTCGTTCAAATTTATGAACATTTTGCTTAATAAATGTGCGCAGACAGTTTCTGTACAAGGAAAAGTGTTTAATTGGAAGAGCTAGACGGATATACAAAATGTGCAACATTTAAGGCGTCTGACAATTTTCATACCGGGTTCCGTTACAACGTTCCGTCAGCTAGATCGCGGACCGTATATCAAATTCTAACAAGTGTCTTATCTATTCCTACGTTTGTTGCTGGAGTTAAATAGGTACGTTGAATCATTGGGTTATCTAATAAAGTTTCTGGATAAAAGGTCGGTCTTATTAATCAAAAAAGTTTGCTACAAGATAAATGGATTGATTGTAGCAAAAAAACTTGTTATAGCATGAAGTTTAGCATAATTCTTACGGTGGTTCCTAAAAAGTTCGCTCTATTTAGGTTTAAGTAGTAGATGGGTTAATTTCCGTTGCCAGTCCTAACTTATGAAAAACAGATTTTTTAAACTCAGAGGCTCAACAATGGATGTTTTGGAGGATTCTACTTACTGCTATGATTTCTTGTTTCCATTTGAATGAACATTCTGTGAATTAGAGGTTTAAAGAAGTCGGAAGTCTTAATAAAACAACCTATCATAGGTTAGCGCAGTTTTAACAGCTCTCCGTATGTTTTCAGCCCTGGCCTAAAAGCAAAAAAAATGAAAACCGAACGCAAAGCCTTGTAAAAACTGCCTTTTCCTGGTAAATAAAATGTCTTTGAACTGGGACTTTTTAAGCCCAGGGTAGAAATAACAACTAATCATTGCGGCGTACGTAAAAACTGTCATCATGGCAAAAAATAATTTTATATATGATATACAATTAAGGTCTAAAATACGAACGAGCGTTTGCAAACCTTCGAATCCAGGCTCATGAAATGACCGGAGATATGTTATTTCGATTAAAAGGAGACTTGAGTCTAGTTTATGTTGTTTACAAATGTTTTATTATTTTCGAGTTTGTTAACTTCCATAGATAACATTGCTTCCTTGTCTTTATTTCCCCATAACGATTATTACTTGATTTTTTATTTAACAGAACAGTTTAGATATGGATACCCTGGATGGTTTATCTCAGGGAATGTCCTGTAGAACATGTCGGACCGATACGCTTATTTGGGAAAATAGTCCGTCCATTACAATTTTTCACAGATTTGTTTTACTAATGTTGAATATAAGTGCGAATTACCCATGCCTTAGACCTCTGGAGACTACCTTTTGCTTAAGTTTGATGGCAGACAGAAGCTGGCCATGCATCATTTTTGCACGAGCTAATGAGAATATGTCACCCGTTATGAATACCCTTTAGTTATTTATCGATGTTTTATGCTCCTCAGCACGGTGGGATCGCTTTTGTCAAACGCTCTTACTACTGCGTTATTTTGTATAAAAAAGCAATAATTTACAAACCAGCACTTTCAGGACTGCTCCCACTCATCGTCTTTTGTTAATAATGCGGTTTTTAACAACTAATTTGAACTACAATTTTGACTTTCTACTTCCAAAAGACATGACTTTAAGGCTTTCCTGCTTGAAATAATGTCTTTACAGGATAGGATATGTGCAAACACAAGAACAGCATGAAAATGTTCTAGAATATAAAAAACTGTGGTATTTTACCCAAAATTTTTGCATTTTATTAAAATGAATTCAAGACAAAGTCTCCCTCCGAGCCAGTCCATCTACTTCTAAACATTGATTATCTGGTAAAAATAACAATAACCAGCACACTTTACAATGGCTGTTCATTTCATGACTTGCTTCACCTGATGTATGTTAAGAGAAGAATTGACTGAAGGCGTAATTTTGCAATTCTGTGTCGATTTTATTCGCGTTGGTGTCTTATAAATTAAGGTATACGTTGCACCAAAGACTTGCCTTAACGATAATTTTTCGATAGTTACAAAGAGTTGCAGTGTCTAGTCATGATCGGAAAGATTCCTTTTATAAGATAGTAGTGTTCCTGTCAAAATGTTCCGCTATTACTTAAGTCTATCAGACATGGCTGACGACGCACTTTGATATAAGCAACTTCTGCCTATTTGCGTCCATTAAGGTTTTTTAATATTGATAGGAAGTGAGATCCAGTGATCCTACCTTTACTTAATAGACGCTTTAAAGGACGAAAAATCTTCATCATTAGGGTCCGGTGGGATCACTTCTCGGTATCCAGGGCTACCGCACGCAGTGGATTGCCTCGCCTATGCAGGGACACCTATCTGAATTTCAATGCCAAGGCGCTCTCAAAAATACCCTCGAAGGCAGAGGAGACTGCGGCCAAACTGAGCTTTGCGTAACCTTGGATTCGAATCCGATTTCTCTGGTTATTGTACGTTTTTATTTCAGTATCTCTCCCCCCTGAATCAGTAATGATCTCCAGGCAACCATCTCTGAGGCTCCAACGGGTAACAGCGTGAGCATGACCTCAAACTGGTCGGCAAATGCTTTTTCAGCAATGACGGTTACCGCCCTCCTCTGCTAGAATGTCACGTGAACGAGGGGGAAGATGTGCGAAGATGTCAAGATTTATTCTCCCTGTGTAAATATCAACGAATCGTTCGCACTCTACTTCCCCTCTCTTCTATGATTTTTTCGATTCAAACAGGACATTGTGTGTGTCTCGCGTAAGCACTTCTCTTAGGTTTCTACTATAATGTCTGTCCGGTAGTTTGCTTTCCGAACAAAGTCGTACAGGTAGTTGATTGATCACACTACGGACACGTTAGTGGACAATGATGAAACCGTTAACGCTAACATCGTCCGCAGTCTTCATCGCATACTTAATGGTAGATTTTGCACCTACAAATTGGGCTTTGAGTGTTGTCATGCATTCTGGTATCTTAAATGTCGAAGGAAGTGCGAGACCTCGTATGTTGTTTCGTCGCCAGGAGTAGAAAGTCTATTCTTTCTTTATATGGTTTGTTTATACAGACCCTTCCCTTGTAGTCGGTCACTGTTCCCCCAACGTAAGCAGCGTTGTAAGAATTAAATCAGACCCCAATGACAATTTGCTGTGCTGTGTCATTAGCTTGAACGTCCTCCTATTTCGTTGTCGGTCCCCAAATACTAACCTCGAACTTGTTAACACCGCAAATTAAGGAGGCCTGTAATAGCAAAGTGACTGTTTTCGGTGTCTCTCCAATATACTGTCTATTTTTATATTGTGCAATGATTTATCGTACTAACAACACAGGCATTAGCTAAAAGTCCAGACACGCGTGTTTCGCCGAACTTGTGCCGCTGCCTGACGCAGCTGCGAGGGGTTCGGCACATCAAGGGGTCCCCCAGCTTTCCCGTGTGTTCCAGTTTCAACTTGCCTTGCTTACTTTCCGAGGAAATTAATGCGCGAACTTTGAGTAACTCTTTCGAAACTGACCTTTTCAGGCACGGTCCGAAATTTGATATGAACATTTGAGCTGAATCCGTCAGTTACTATGGAATAACCGCTTAGTATTCACAAACCGCCAACAGACAGCCAGCAGCATAGAACTGTGCAATGATTTACCGCACTAAAAACACAGGTATTAGCTAAAAGCCCAGACACGCGTGTTTCGCCGATCTTATGCCGCTGCCTGACGCAGCTGCGAGGGGTTCGGCTCGTCAGTGGGTCCAGTTTTAACTTGCCTCGTATAATTTCCGAGGAAATTAATGCGTGAACTTCATATTCTCGTTGATTAACGTCTGCCCTTTGAGTGCCGCTTTCATTTGCTCTCACAAGGTGGACTTATGAGTGCGTTTAGATGATGTGGAGTTGTTATAATGATAATTCGTAATCTGTCAAATTACATTTGTTGGTAGCATTCATGTACGCAGTTTCCGTTATGAATACCCTCTCTTATGTTCGGTCAGCTAAATGCTAGAGTATCCTGTTGTTGGTGTCAGCTATCTTGTTGTGGAGTGCCTGTTTAGACTAATGTAGCTTGAGAATTCACTGCACTCGGAAAGTGCTTAATTTATGCCTTGAAGAAACTACAGGCATTTGTCGACGGTTCCTTCTAGTTCTTGAAGGACATTTGCGATATTTCGGTCAGAGAGCGGCAGTCCCACGAGAGAGCTTTTGCTTTGATATCATGTAGCGCCCTCGAAGTAAAAGATGTTCCTAGATGAACCGTACAATGCTGGGTGAGATTAACCTGCTTCGTTGTGGGTTTCTAGTCTTATTTACTTTGTTTTCCGGTCTTTGTTTCACTTTTTTTGTAGATGGAGTCTTCGAATGGTTTAAAGGAAGAAATCAAATGTGTCAGAGTTTAATTATCATTAATAATTTTGAAATACTTTTTGTCCGAAAGAATGAGGTAGAGACTTACAGGACCATAACCCTCTCAAGATAGGTTCAGACTAGCTGAAGTACGCCGTGTAACTGAAGATCTTACGAGATATAGGTATTGAAACCAAGTAAACTTCGTCTATCCACTGAACTGTCGTCCTTTTGTTAAGGTCCTATCATTCTCTTTTAAATTATCATAAGTTGTTTTGAACTGCTTTCAGATCTTTGCACAGACCATCGACCTTAAACTGTCATCTATCTCTCAAGTGATACCAAAGGACTTTTCCCATTTTTGACATCTTGATGGTGTTTTCTACTTCCTCGGAATTGATAATATGTTGTCGTCAATTCATTTTATTCACGAAATATCTTATATTTTATGGGCACATTCTTGATTGTATACATGACTGTTTGGAGCAGGTTCGGTAGTGTTTTGTTTTTCAAATATGAATCTGCTGCTTCTAAATTCCGCCCCAAATTAACTTTCCGTTTTAAAGAGATGAAGCTGTACTTAAAACTAACGGGATAAAGTCATTCGACAACGCAAATCAGTGGACAACACATAGTATTCCTCTACGCCGATTTCCTTCTAGCAGATGAACAAAATCATGCCCTTTCTAGTAAAGGGTTTTGCTGCTTTGAATATACTCTTTTAGAACCGTTAGTTAGGCTTTCAGACACAAAAATCGTAACAAAAATAAAAATTAATATTCCTAATGCTTGCATAGAGTCTGTTCATGAGCCCTTTGAGCGGAATTTTATCGCTGCCTGGAAAGTTTTTGGAATGACACCTAAACTCTTATAATAGCTTTGACCTGTCCAACTAACTAACTTCATGTATTCATTACCCTGAACTTACCTATCGGAGCTTATGTCCATTTTAACTTTTACCCTCACTACTACACTCTATGTTAAAGTCAGTCAAATCATTTCCTTTCAAGTTTTCTATAGGAGAGGCACTCCGATTCATTTATTGTTGTTTAATCTGAACTTTAGTATTTTTTAATAGATTCAGTGCTGCATAAACTATTTGCCAACCATGACAACTATTTGTATCCTGACGTGCAGTGATTGTATTGGCGCATGCACAATGCGAAAGCCAGTAGCTCTTAGCTCTTGGGAGATGGCTTAAAAGATCTCTCCTGTGTGCAACACTTTGAAGGATACTAGGTTCGCCTCTGCACCCTCCATTCCGCCTGTTGGGCTCTGTCACTAACATCTGAGACGGCTTACTGCCTGTTTAATTAAATTCCACTGGACTCTAACTGCCTACCGGCATGAAACAATTCGTTTTTAAGGAACTTTTTGTTGCTGCATTACCCAGGGCGGCGGTGGAGGACTAGTCCTTTAGTCTTTGGCAGCATGTCTGTTTCTACAGCCGAGGACGGTTTCAGCCCTAACATCTTTCAGCTAAACACTTTTATGGAGCTTTGACTAGCCTGCTTTGCACGCTTCCCTCGTAAATGCGGTTATTGTATGTGGAGTTTTCAAAGCGAATACTCAAATCTGTGAAACCCTGCGGACAGCGCTGGCACAAATTACGGATCCAAGGCCGTTGAAGGTTCAGGACAGAGATGCACGCAGCATAGCCTGTGCCGGTTTGTACTGCATTTACTTTGGTCGGACAGACCGGGACCTTGAGACCGACTTCAATGTACAAGAACAAATTGTCGGGTTATAAGTTTTCTGGATTTGCCAGAGACAGTCTCTGTTTTCAGTTGGATATGACCAAATAACGACGAGTTTGCCTGGGACACTGGAAAATTACTAACGACAGCAATACTCCTTCTGTCAACGTTGCTGCGCACTACGATGTTTACAAGCACATCAAACACGTCGTTCCTACCTCCGTTGCACTGAATCATGACAATGACAAGCTGTCCGTTTATTCCGCCGCCCCAGCCTAAGGAGCATTGATCCTAATCATTCGTCTTCAACGCAATCACAACGTGAAAGTACGCATCGCAGCCTCTCTGTCCTTCGGTCTCCATCGTGTGAATCTCACTTCCGCTTCCATCGTATTCTCTTTATTGCTTATCATCCAGCGTGGAATAGGGTGGCTCTAGCCGTAGTGCCAATAGCAGGCTATTGTTCACAGTGAGAAAATATTCTCAATGAAGAAATAGGAGAGAGCAGTGGCCATTTCTGACTTCTTTAACCTCGTCAGACAGCCGTTACCAGCGCCAGCGGTCACCAGGGAAGTTGAACCTAGGAGAGTTGTTCATCAGAAATTTCAGTGCGCAACCTTCCACCAGTCGGGCTACGGTAGCTTGGTCTGTCGGTTACTGTCTAGTGAAAATGTTTTTGTTTCCGTTTGCAAAGTTTTCCGGTTACCGACCACTCATCATCGTGTGACCACCGCCAAGGGTCTTGGACTTGAATCTACAAAGCAAAACGGAAAGCATCATTTTCCTTCTCCATTTAAAATAGATTTGGGCAATTTCGTTTTCCCGTGAGTTTGAGTTTTTGCGATCGTTCCTAACTGCATACTAGTCCATGCCTCAAGTCGCAAAGAGTTTGGCACACAAATGTTTGACAACCAATCGATTAATCCCCGGATCTCTGGTAGCCACCTGAAATAGGGCAATGACTGTTCCATGACGATAAATAAGCTGTAATCGGCAATTGTAGCCTTTGTTGTCTTTGCTGTCAAACGTCTTTGGTCACGTATAGTTTGACGCAGTATGGTTGCTTGCGGGGCACTGAACCCATATTTACACTAAAGTCGAAAGTGTCATTTCAGTCCTCCAGTTAAAATAGATTGTTATCTTCCTCATCAAGGTGACACCACCAAAAATATGATTGTAAAAGATCGATTTTTTTCTCAGCAGATGGTGCGAATACTGTCTATCTAAGAAGCTTTCTGAGTCTAGTCAAATTTTAATTTTAAAATTATAAATAAATTTTGCAAATGTTTTGTCCCTTTTCTGGAACGTTAGTCATAATATTTTGAGATCTTTTGGATTCTTATCTTCATTCCCTGTTTTGTAAAGTAAAAATGTAATTCATTGGGCACGGTTGGATTGGCAGCAACGCGTCTTGTGCCTTACAATTTTTAGCGGCCGCTTTACATGTTCTCACGAAGACTTTTATCAGATTTCGCTTGCTCCGGCCTTGATGCTTTTCTAAGCGATGTTTTTTTGAAATATAAATCAATGGCGGAATTTTTGAAAAAACCCTTCAAGGGTTTCATACGAGAATAGAGCTTGAATAACGGCATATCGATTGGATAATTTTTAAGTTACTAGTCTCGTATAAATTTATGCGCTATGGGCTACAAGATTCAACATACACATGAGGACTCAAAAGCTCTAATCAGTACTGATCTTCTTGTATAAAAGCATTTGTACGATAAGACTCGAGTCAATAAGGAGCTGTGTGAATAAAGGTTGAGGCGTTGATCTCAAAATCACCGGTCAAAAAATCTTTGCTTACCGACCGTTTACTTTAGAATTAACGATGATTTTTTGAGCATTTGTTCACAATGTTCTATAAAATATTTTATTCTTCCACGTTAAGGATGTATCTCTTTTATTAAGGATAAATAGACGTGAAGGCACAAAGGTCCCTGGTTATCGTGACTTGCATATCCAGGCAAATAATCTGTTCGTCATAATGATTTCACGAAGCGGACTTAACTTCGGCTACTCCGAGCCGCCACTCAAAATCCTCATTATAGTTTTCTCCGGAAATCTGGCAGTAGTTGTTGCGATGCACTAAGAGAGTTACTAAAACTGTTCGCAATTTTACTAAAGTGACCTTGAGACAGCGTTTTTTGCATACACTCCCTTTAGTTTTTATCCAAAATTGCCTTTATCAACACATCCAAGCAGATAATTTTCGTCGAAAAAGGATTGTGGGACTCGATTTCAAATAAGTTTCATAGTGGTCGTATTCATTTGGTTTTTACGAGATCTTTATTACGTCTTAATTCTTTTTGTGATTAAACGACTGTTGGAATTGTTATTCTGCGGAGCGGAAACAACTAGGTCTTGCTTCGTTCTAACTTACTGCTGATCATTTATAAAAGGACCATTGTCTAGATAGTCCACACTTAAATCCGGTCCTTCGCCTGAATGAACTATTCTCCCCAAAAACCCTATGCACTTTAATAATGCATTATACGTTGAAACCCTGGACGATGTTTAATGGACCTCATTTAAAATCCCATTAAAGCTTGGCTGTTTTTTCTAGGGGCTAAAGAGCCTTATGAATTGAAAAGGGTGCCCGTCAAACCTCGTGATCTGCGTTCTTGTCCTGATCAACAAATTGGTCTCCGCACTTTTGGTTTTCCTTAGGCAGACCCGTTCTACCTCACGCCAGTACCTTGCTTCACAACTGTTAACAATTTGATGTTGTTTTTTCATGAGCCTTTCTTTCAGTTAAGCATGGAAAAACAGCGCCATCCAAACGGAGCCGTTTGAAAGCTTGGATTAGGATTAATGTTTAAATAGCTTTACCTTAAATGTTCTCGAGAAGGTATTAATCCTGTTTTTATGGAGAATCTGCTTATAAACATTATAAACGCAAACTCTAATGCATAAGTGACAAATATGACTTAATTGTTATATAATTCGTCGAAGTTTCTTTTTAAATGTTTTTCTATTTTTTCCGACTTTGCATTAACCACCCAGACAGTCTAAAAGATATTTCAAATATAAAAACGAGGACTTAGCCGAGGAATGCAAAATAAAGATCATCTTGGACTGTTTGTCGAGTGGCAGTCGCAGCCCTTCCAATTTATTGTCAGCGTCTGGTATCTGAATCCCGCCAACACTACATATCAAAAGAAAACCAAGCAACATCGTATCCGGAGGCTTGCACTATAGCAATAACAGGTACGATCACAAGTTGTCATCAGAATTCGGATGATCACCCAAATATGTGTCGGAAACTGCTGATTTTATTTACTGATCGAATATGATACTTAAAATGCCGCCTTTTTGCAGTATACGCTTTACCATCAGCGAGTCAAAAAGGATCAGAAAGGATCATGTTTTAAAGTAGGTGGGCTAAATCATAAAATGTTGGCAAAAATTCCAAAAGGCGTTCCCGTTTCGAAAAGATTGATTAAGTAGGGTTGTAAAATCAATCATCGTGCGGCAAAATTCTATAATAATCCCGTTACCCCAGAAATTCGACTTTCGAAAAAACTTCTATTTGGCTGCATCCTAAAAACCGCAGTCCAAAAAAATGACTAAATACTTAGCATGCATTTTTTCATTGGTTTTCGATGTCCTTAAAGATTCAATTACATTTCGTGGAACAGGTGCATAAAAATATTTATTCTTTTGCCAATCCAGTAGAAAATTACGTCTTCCTTCAATTTTACACTCGAAGGGAAAGTATAAATTGGTTTTGAAAAAGTTTCTAATTGTGAGTTTTTTAACACCGCGAAATGACCCTCCATTAAACGTCATGTTGTTGTTTTTAACAATGTGGCTTGTAAAGTTAACAATATGGCTCAAATCCCCTGCTTAATTTTATAAACGCTATATGGCCCCCTTTATAACAGTAGAGAAATATATGATTTTCTGTGTGCGGAAATAATGCGGCTTGTAGTTTGGTAACCCTGAATGCAAGTTTAACGGCAGGTTGAGTTCAAAATTATTCGAAAATTGGAAAACATTTGTAAGACCAAAGTATACCCTTTCTTTGAGTGTAAAAGTGAAAGAAAACGTAATTTTCTACCGACTGAGCAAAAGGAAGAATATGTTTGTCATGTCCCCTATGAAACAAAATTGAATCTTTAAGACATCGAAAATCAATGGAAAAATGCATGCTACATAAGGAGCCATTTTTATGGGATATGATTTTTGGATGCAGCCAAATAGAAATTTTTTCGAAAGTCGGAATCCTGAGATAACTGAATTATTGTAAAATTTTACTGTATGATGATTGTTTTAGCAACCCTATTTAATTAGTCTTTTCGAAACGGGAACGCATTTTGGAATTTCTGTTGACATTTCATGAGTTAGACCACATACTGCATATCTTGAGAATTTCTTAAGATTTTAAGATTACGCCTCAGATCTGTTCCATTGCACAAATTCTTTTACGGGAAGATGTCAGGGCAAACAAGTTAACTACGGTATCCTGCATTTCTAAAAATTAACTTTTTTCCGGGACGTTCAAAATTGTATAGAAATTGCTTTTATTCGTATGCATTTATTGCTTCCCGAAATCTAAAAATCATGTTTTCTTTGATTAAATATCGAAAACACAACCGTTTCATAATAAATTCAACGATTTTGTTTCAAGTAATAAATCGATATAGCAGGCTTACACATCCGAACAAATGCCCCTAGTTTGTCTTTGCTTTTTAGGATTTGTTATATTGTATTAACTCAAAAAAATCTCTACTTTTCCCTACTGTTCAATTCAAACGGGTTGGTTAATTTAGTAGGCTGGCATTATATTTAAAAAGATGCCTGATTGTTCCTTGTAGCAATCATTTCAATACTGCGTGATAGGAAGACTTCCAAAGGCGCAAAACATTAATTTGCATGTTTCTGAATAAGGCAACAAAAGAATACAGATTTGCAATAAGGTGCCGCAAAGATATCAAAAAACCAATGTAAGTGCGAGATTTAGAACAGAAAGGAAGAGAGTTGAGTGTCGATGGTGATAGATTGCGCTCAAAAAGATCATTTCCCATTGTTTCAAAACTCTGGTTGTGACCAGTACTTGAATAATTACTCAAGCTGACCACTTATATTTGTCAGTTCTTTTTAACGAGGCTAGACATTGTCCTGCGCGAGATAAAAGGAGATAAGAAAGGCATTTGGGTAGCAACACCTTGTAAAATTTGTTCCTTTCGCAAGGCGGCAGTCTGTAATGCCAATTCGTTGTCTGGGTTTAAGATCATATGTAAATTTGCGCTTAACCTTTGGTTTTAAAGAATAAATTTGGCTAATTCAGTAAGAGTTCTGATGGAGCAATGGGGTATTTTCTTGTTATCGTGACCTTTTTTAAAGGCTGACGCAGATCTTCAAGTCATTCTAACGGCTCTATAATGCCAGCCACGGACATTCTAACTCTGCTACTACTAAAGTAGAACGCATCGATGCATAGTGACAAGAATGATTTGAGTAAGTGTTTTCAGGCTAAAAAATCAGCCATTCCCTCCAGAGCTTTAAGGGTACACACGAAACATGTTTTCCACCATCTCTGTTTACTTCTTCCGAGACATAGAATTATTCCTTTAATTCACGAACGTTGGCCGTCTCTAGCCTGATATACTGAAACATTCCGACCAAAATTCACTGGTTTTTTTTAGTTGCCAGATTAGTGTGCATTTAAGTACCTCTAAACAATATGTACGTTATTCCTACTGCATGGTTTTTGGTCGTTTATCCACCTATTTAAACGAAAGCGGACTTCGACAATACATTTGGTTGCTTCCTTGAGTAATTATCTTAGCATAAAGTGCCGGTAGAATTTTCAAAAAAGGGGTTTTTATTTGTTGGACCGATTTTTGAAAAACAATGGTATTTTCTTGGTCATGTTTTTGATCTTTGCTAATGCATCAGCCGCACCAAACTAATGCAAAGAGTGGACACTAATTTGTAAAAATGTGTGTCAAAAAATACCAAATCAGGGTGTTTGCACGGTATGACGAAAAATTCAGAAGGAAAATAAAGTGAACGACGAAACGGCTGTAATGGTTTTCAATCAAATACCAGTGCCAATCGTGCAGAACTCAATACTCGCGACACAATGGTGTTAAGTTACTTATGCCGACATTAATTCTTGTGTTTGCTTTAAAAAGTCTTATGTCGCCTCTTATTAGGCCAGGGCATGTTTATCGTACAGCGAGTATACGCTAACGAAGGAAAAAACATTTTTTCTATAAAAAAGACGTATAATATTTTCGGTTTACGTGGCCGATGATTGGCGGCTTTACAATACCCCTGCCTAAAATTGCACATAACCCCATAACGAAAAATTGCTTATAGGCATATTTTCAGCGCTTTTTGTAAATTTGCGGCAATAATGAGGTAATATTTTATTACACAATGTTGAGACTTCTCAGAAACTGCTCAATCTAACACATTTGCATTGCCAGTTGCAGAAATTCTAGCTTGGTTCTTACCAATGTGGTATGCTATTTTAATGCAATAACCGGAACGAAAATTGGATAATACATCATTTTGTAGTTCAGTTTTTTCACAAAAGGAGAATAATGAAAAATCTACCTTGGATGCCAAAAAAATTACAACTTCTTAACCTAATCGTAAAAGTTGTTTAAGTATCGTTTGGCATAGAAGAGTCATGCAATCGTAAAAAACATAACTAAGGCTCCCATCTTGAACGTTTCGAAGATTCGCAAGTATGTTCCCATTAGTTATGTAAAATCAACAACCCAAAAAAAGCAAATATTTCCTCCGAGTTTTGAATTATGTTTCGTTATTTGCAGGTGCAGCTGTTCGTACCACGTATATAAAGAGTAACTTGATATGGCCGAAAACTTTTATGTGATACTATATTCTTCTAATGTTTGAAAGAATGTATCTTGACTACTCATAAAGCCAGTAAACCCCCACTTTACGTATGTTATAGTCACTGGGCTTAGAAATTCACAGGGTTTGTAAATTTTAGACAACAATATAAATTGCGGATGGACAGGAAAATTCACTGTTTAACGATCATAATTATCAAATACATCTTTTAAGGCAAGGGGACTCTTAACTGCGGTTTCAAAATAAATGCGTTTGGCCGTCGTTGTAAACTAATTTAAGGAGAATAAAATAGTAACTTTGGCCAAGCATCTTTTCAGTTACGTTTTCTCAATCATTATTAAATGCAAGCGATATTTATATGGAGTGTAGTTTCGCGAATTTTCGATTTTGTTTTGCTTCAGCCTTCCCTTTTGGAAAATGCCATGCAAATCATTACGTCAGGCTTATTTAGTGAAGGATATGCAATTGCAGAATAGCTCCACAAAGCGTTTCACAGGTTTTTTACAATGCCTTTGGTGATATCAAGTAGACTGCGTGATCTGAAAGTAGCATTCATTAATTTGGAAGTGCTACGTTACGTTATAAAATGTGCAGGGGTTTCGAAAACTGTCACGTCCGTAAAATTGGGAAGAAAGCATATATTCTCTTCGATTGGACAATTGTTGATGGGGCGATATTGGAATATTATGGACTTTTATAATTTTTCAGTAGTGTATAACTACATTTGTAGAAATCTGTATGTTTGGTAAAAATAAATATTTTAGGGACGAAATGTTTTCTAGGGTAATCAGCACAAGTTACAGAACTAAGGGTTATTGTGTCGTCATGCATGAACTTACTTAAGATGACATTAAAAATAATTTTCCCATTGTAGCACTCGAATAAAAATTCCTACTTCACTGTCTGTCTAAGTATTTTATTCAACTGTTGTGCCATTATTTTTTCATGCCTAAGTACAGACTTGATCTTATAACAAATCATGCATTATCTTACATGCAAAATCCTATGAATGGCGTTCACAGGTCTAACTTAATTGCCGAATCTGGTAATTTGACCCTCGCGACTGTCCAACGCGCCCCACAAAATAAGCGCTGCACCGGCGACCTGCTTACGCTCTAGTACATAGTAAAGCAGGTTTGCGCAGCGTTTACCTTGCATTCCCTTTCCTCACTTATCCCGTTTTTCAGTGGCATGACAAAGCAAAGACAACCAGATGAGATGCATATTGACCCAACTGTGAAAAACGTGGCGCCTCGGTGAGATTTTAACCCACGACAGTAAGGGGAAGGTTTTAGTACAGCCAAAGCTATAACCAACCGATCTACGAGGCCCCGCCAGACGACTCGAGTTTAAGCGCACTTGGGTCAAGTTACCCGCCCAACCTACTGCAACGTCTGGAATTGGTCGTTATTTTAATTCTTATCTCGCAAAATTCTTGCCTAGAGGGAACATTTTAAAAATATCAAAAAGTTGAAGCTGAATCCGCTCAAAAAGATGCATTGTGTTTCTTCTTGAATCACCGAAAGTAGGATCTATGGAGTTCCGATGACCATCTCCCAAAAGTTTATGGCAGGTGGCCATTAAAGTAGATAGAATAACTATGCGTCAAAGTAATGTTTTCTTCCCTTATCTGGCTGCTACATCTGAAGTAAAATTCAGTGTCTCGTCATTAATTATTCAAAGAGGATTTATGCCTCGCGTCCCATCTCACCTCCGGTCGTCCTGATTTTATCTTTTCACCGGGTCCAGGTGGGTGGCTGAAGAAAAAATGTGGCAGGTGCTAAGCAAATCACTGTTCTGCGCCAACCAAGCTGCGGCCGTTACACAATCATTTTTCCCAAACAGAGATCACGGTATTAGATTATTGCAGACATTTGCAGTGACAACCAGGAAGTTTGAGTCTTCAGCCTTTCACTTTGGCCTTCTTGATGAAATGGTTGTAAAAAGCAAGAAAGCTGTAAGCACAAAGAGTTTTGGCAATCTTGTGTTAATTTACGTGCAGTAAACATCTTGTACTTTTGCAAATATAGCTTACGACCTCAGAGAATTTAAAGCTGTTTTTATTTGTTGATGTTAATTTTGTCGGTCGGGATTTTTCAGCTTTTTAATTTCTCCAGAAACTAGTTGTTAACTCCTGATAAACCTGTTTGTTTTAGACCTTTAGACTCCGATTAAAATGTGCCAGGAATATTTTGACCAAAGCCCATCAGCCACAGCGGAATAAGATGTAATATTCATCAACTGTTAGCAGACAACCAGTAGTATATACAGTAGATTCGCTATTTCGTAAAAAATATCGGCTGGAATTATTAAATGTCCTTGATTAGAAGGGATCATTTGAGTATAGTCGTAAGACTAACTGTCGTGCAGCATAATCACCGAACATTCTAGTCATGTAATAATGCCGGGTTTCGGACGAGCTCCTTTCTGGTTGTAAAAAATGATGTCTTTGATTATGCGAATTTTTTCTATTGATTTTCGACGTCCCTATAAATTCAAATATACCCCATAGAAAACGTGCAAAAATATTTTTACGCCCAGTTGGTAGAAGAAAATCGCATATTGCTATATTTACTTAAGAAAAAGTAACGTAGGACTCACAAACTTTGCATCGAATATGCACCAGGTTACATAACTTACAGGCAACACTTATCAGTGGACAGATACGATACTTTGTGGGAAGAACTTTCACGGTCTTAGAAAAACTTACAGTGCTAAACTTTTTTAAAGCCAAAAATATCCTTCTTAAATGTATAATTTGGAGCCGTAATCTGCTGCCAAATGGGCGCAAGATAAATATCTTTTACGCTTTCTATGTGATATATTGGAATGTATAAGGACGTCGAAAGTCAATAAGAATCATTCATGCTAGTAAAGTAGTCATTTTTCACAGAGTGCAGTTTTTGCAAACAACCGAAAAAAACTATCGTCGAAGGTCAGCATTCTTAGGCGTCTAAAATATCGTGTAATTATGCTGCGTGATTGTTAACCCTGCGACCCTGTTTTAGTAATCGTTTCTCATCAGAGACAAATCGGAATTGCAGTTAAAGTTTTATGCAATAAAACCTCCAGTGCAGATAGTTTGCATGAAATACCATTCCCTGAAAACGTAGTTGATTGTTAAAAGCCCGCACGCGCGGTTCACCGATATTCTGCCGCCGCATGCCCCAGCTGCGAGGAGTTCGGCTCTTCAGTGGGTTCCCCGGCGTTTCCCATAGGCTTTCTGGTAGACTCCCTAATTTTTAGATTACTGTTTTTCTATCAACAAAACACCTGTCTGGGCTTTTAACTAGGACCTGTGCTGTTAAGCATGGTATATCACGCCATCTAGTTTTTTGTTCCCATCATGGCGCCGGACATTTCTTCCTACACGCCTTTAGTTTGGCAGATATACATGGGCATTCATGCTTTGGTTGTTATAAAATAAAGCCCATCGCCAGTCTATGCAAATATTTTGTTGACTATGCCTCGTATTCCGAAAAACCAGTCTTTTGGTTTTCATGTGGAATCTACAGTCAAGAGATTTTTCAGACTATCACAATCGAGACCATCCCAAACAAAACCACCTATATTGGCAACCATGAGCGCTGGAGACACTGAAATTACAATCATTTGTCAAAATCTCCCGCTGCATGCCCCAGCTGCGAGGTGTTCGGCTCTTCAGTGGGTTCCCCGGCGTTCCCATTAGGCTTTCTGATAGATTCCCCAATTTTTAGACTGCTGTTTTTCTGTCAACAAAATACCTGTCTGGGCTCTCAGCTAGGACCTTTGCTGTTAAGTATGGTATATCATGCCATCTAGTTTTTTATTCTCATCATGGCGCCGGACATATCTTCCTACCCGCCTTTAAATTGACAGATATACATGGGCATTAGTGCTTTGCTTGTTATAAAATAAAGCTGATCGCCAGTCTATGCAAATATTTTGTTGACTGTGCCTCGTATTTTGAAAAACCAGGCTCTTGGTTTTCATGTGTAATCTACAGTCAAGAGATTTTTTGGACTATCACATGCGAGACCATCCCAAACAAAACCACGAACGCTGGAGACACTGAAATTGCAATCACTTGTCAAAATCCCCACCGTTAAGATTGTAATTCTGGTGTGTTGACACTTCTTCCCCCTCTGCATCACACCTAACAAACAGTGAAGTGAGAAGATAAGTTAAGTTACAGATACCTCTCCATTGCACTCCGACATAGGGTAGTAAGTCTAAACCCTCTTAGAACTTATTTATGCCTTCTTACTTTCAGAAAATACAGCTTCTCGAATTGGACAAAGCATGCTTATTAACGAAAAGCAAAACACGAGGCTTTTTGGAGAGCGAGGCTTGTATGTAAAAACGATAATTACTGCAGGACAGTGACAGTATGAAAACGTGTGTCCATCATCGCTGCAATGAATTACGCCGTGTCACTTGCGATCCAACCCACCGCAAATAAATCCTGCGTTGTTTTCAGTTACAAAAAACCACATTAAAAAAAGAAGTGCAGCTGTAAACCACTGAAAGAAGCAAACGTGTTTTACCTAGTTTTTTTAAAAGATATTTGCATATTTTTTATGATGTTTTAAAAAAAAGCCAGCCGACAGTTTTCCAACGAAAAACTCAAATCCACAACTGTTTTTGTAGACGCCTAAAACCTGACTTGCCAAATGCACCCGTACTTGGTCGTCCAAAAGTCGAGATTTGGAGTGGTTGCGTTAGAAATGAGAGAGATTGCCCGAGACTGCAAATCCCCATGTCGAGAGAACTAATTAATAAGTGATTTGCTCTGACCTCGGCGATCGCTGGATTCTCAAAGCTCTCGCAGAAATAAAATGAAAAGCAACAATTTAGTCAATGCCTCGAAAAATGGCAAATTCATCTCCAAACGCAGAAAACTTTCCGAAAGCTCTGGAGAAAACCAGTGACGACCAAATTTCAAAAGCAAACATGTGCATGGGCTTGGTTGTTTTTTTTACAAACGACTGTGCAAAACAAACTGTTTACCTTCATTTGTCCAAAAGTACATCCTTGGATTTCGGAATTTAAAAATATTTCATTTTCCTTATTCCAAACTTTTTGATTTTTTGTTTCGAGACTTTGACGTAGTGTTTCCCTTAGACCTATCCCATTAAGTTTATTCCTGTAGTTTTTCAAAAAGGTAAGTTCGTTTGTGCTTTTTGCGAACTTGTTAGAGCAGTACAAAACAAACACTCCAGATGTTACACAAATTTACGTTTTGGCAGCACTTCCATGTCGACTTTGAAAACAACTGAAACGACGAAGAACGTTTTTTCGTAAATTATGCAGGAATTAACAATACTATGCCAGCGCGCCTTCCTTTTAAGAATGAAGCTTAGAAACGCAATTTTCCGCAAAGTGATTTTTGAAACACGCCTTGTCTACTCTTTTTTGAGGTGCATCTGAAGCTAAACCTAAATTGATAGCCAAAAGGGTAAATATCACTTATGCAGCCACTTTTGGCTGTGGTAACACCGCCGATGGCAAAAAGTGTGCTTGATATCCATTTTCCTTTGAACAATGTATAAACGGATTCTGGATTCTGTTCTATACTTGCCTTTACTGTAATTCCAAGTATTCCTCCGCAATGCAACATCAGACAAGGTTTATTCAAGTTAATTGTATAACCCGTGTCTCTTTCAAGCTGTGAACTTGTCAATAATGCTACTTATTTCTCGCTAATAAGGTTTGGAAAAAACTATTTGCTTAAAATTGTCATCATTTTTACCGAGTTTTGTAGCATAGTTTGTGTCTGACGCATAATGAGCTATCTCAAGTAAAGTTAGGCAAAAAGGCAAGAACAGGACATTGTGCTTGGAAGCATTCCTAGCGACCTAATATCAGCTATGAGGAACTCGTCATTCGTTTAAGATCTGCGCAGTATTTTAGATTATATAACGGATTTTATATACCATATACTTGAGTCGCCTGCCGGTTCCTTTCATAAACAAAAATTTTGGAAGAAGAAGAAGTATAAATAACCACGGTCCAACAGAGATCCGGAAATTGGCCGGGTGGTATTTCTCTCCTGCCATGCACCATTCAAGCCAGTAAGCGGCACATTCTACGCCATCATCAGTCAAACGACTGAGCTCCCCGCAAGAAGAGGGAACCGTTTTGCAGTGCCAGATTTTTCGATTGGATATTGATGCTGAAAATCCCAACAAGGTAAGCGTTGTATATCTTTTAGCAAATATGTTTATGATAACGTATGTCAAACTGCTTTCAAAATTGACACTGTCTTTGATGGGACTGAGTCCATAAAATGTTGATATGCTAGGTCCATTTGCTAGGCATTAAGCATCAGAATTTATGCAAATGGATGTCGCCTTTTCATTGAGTTTGATTTTAGAGATTATTATTTAATTTGGTCGCATTTCTCCAGCGAAAGCTAATATTTACTGAGGAAAAAGATTATGATGGCTTATGTCTGTGAATATGAGGTAAATTCCGGACTACCTTTTTCTTGTGCGGAAATGCAATTTTTATGCAGTTATAAACATTTGTGTGCTAAAGTAAGTGAGTCTGCTTGAGTAGTTTCCATCTTAAACTTGCCTTTTATTAGACATATTGCATGAAATCACATTTAAATCAGGTAAAACCAACGTCCTAACTTGGTTCATAATAATATGCCTTTAATACGCATACCACTACCTGAGAATCAAATATTTGCAAATAGAAAGTCCAATATGCTAATGTTAATACTCCGTATTTTTCGGCGTTAATGCAGTTATTGTGGGCAATGCTGCTCTGGTCCATTATCCCAAAAATGTTATTCGCACTAATTAAATTCCACTATGCTTCTTTTCTCTTGATGTCTGACTGGTCCACGCTGCAAGCACATTCGCCTCTCTGACATGTAAGTCTGTCGAATAAACACTCACTACTTTTATTAATGAGCATCATCAATTAAACAAGGATGAACTGCTTAAAGACCTATCTAATTGTCTTAAAAGGGCTGCATGGAAAAAGTCCAGATGTCACTAGACATTTATTGGAGCCCGGTTAAAAGTTGCAACCCAGGTTGCCTATAAGACATCAAAGTTAGAAATATAATCCATAAATTGTTGGTCAAATTACTATGCTGCTTATAGTTGCTCTAGTCAAGACGGTTTTTTGAATTAGGCCTGTCGCTTTCGTCAAAATCAACGATATTTTTGGTGAGGTTAGGGCCAAAGATTTTGCATCAACAAAACTTTTCAATGTTAGTCCTATTTTGGTTTTGCATCTCATTACGACCCACCTTTAATTAAGCCTTTATAAACTACTGGAACCTCCGCAGCGTTTTCAACAACCTACTTTTGTTTAACTTTTTAAAAATAACTATAGACACTGCGAAATAAACATATAACAACCGTCGTAAAAAAAGAGGAGTTGATGCTACTTAAGTGCTCCGAGATCCATAGGAAAACTTTAGCTCTAATAGGATTCCTGTGCTATCTTTACTGCATTCTGATCTCCACTTTAACGTAAAATAGTCAAATGTTTCGATTAAACCGACGAAGGCTCTGAGTCATGAAATGAGCAGTCTGCAAAACAGTCCGTTTGAAATTGATAATCTACATCCCATAAAGTCGATTATATTGTTACCAGAAAGTAATTTAACAAACGTTACTGCACAAATCCACTTTTTTAAACTGCTATAACTTGTTTCGATTAGGCAGATGTCAGCAGTAATGTCTTTTTAGAAATGACGTAATATCCATCGTTTGTGTAATTATTCGACTCTCGCTCAAACGATTCAGTTAAATTTAGTTGGAGAAGTTGTGACGTAAAATAATGTAGCCGCTTAGTCGTATTTTGTTAGGTAGCAGCCTGCAAATACTTGCATAAGTAGGTAAATGCAACCCATATAGCAAGAGTACTTTCTAAATAAATTTGGACAGTTTTCGTGCTCATTCAACTGGACTTGCATAAGTAGGTAAATGCAACCCATATAGCAAGAGTACTTTCTAAATAAATTTGGACAGTTTTCGTGCTCATTCAACTGGAAATTCCGTAGGTTAGTCAAAATAATTTAGGTTTTATAACGCTGCTTTTTTCCAAACAAAGTATTCCCTGATATTTGTTCAAGTTATATTAAGCACCAGATTTATCGCCATGTTGATTCGACTTAGGTCCCCTCTTTTTTGCCTTTTTCCTTTCAAATTTTCTTTTTCCTGAATTTTAAATCATCAGAAACATGACTCATATCCCTGCAAACTTTGTGCACCTTAGACTTTTAAATCCTGGTACGGTTAAATTTACAGGAAAACCAAACCACCCCAAATATTTTCCAGACGGCTGAAACAAAGAGGGCACATTATTTCCTGCCAATCATTGCGTATATAATTGAGTTGATGGCTTCTTTGTCATACGATGTCCTCTAAGTTTCAGAAACCACCACGTGGTTGTGGGCGGGTTTTCGTACAGTTCCCTTGCGTCCTTCTCCCAGGAGGCTGAACTCACTGTGGATGAACAAGCTGTCAGCCATGATGGTCAAATCTAAGTGATCAGTCTGACATATTTCATATTCTGTGAATTTCTTTAACTTAAACTAACACACTGAATATTTGCCGAATTTACGTTATAAACGATAAGGTATATATTTTAGCCCGAATTGACCCTCTTTATACCCAACCAATTTACCTGTTAATAACTGTTGCATACTGTTTTCGCATATTCCTCCACATTCCTAACTTAGACGGCAGCCATCTAAATAAGAAAGATTAAAGGAAAAAGCCTTCACTGTCTTGAGATTTGATTTTTTCTTGCGCGAAACGCAAGGGGATCAAGATGAGGGTAATCACGCTATTTTCAGAAAAAGTCTGATGCATTATCCTGTGCGATACTCTACGCCAAATGTTGCATTAACTGGATATTTTTGTTTTGAGAAACTTCCTCACAACTTATACACCTGAGCAAGTTGTCCAGAAGTAATTGTGCGATGGTTAAAATTGCCCCAACTGATTTAATTTCTGTGTTGTCATGCCGTGTTTTAGAAGCGAAATGAACGCACTGTTAGACACCAACACTCTTCGTATGCGGTCTTGGATAAATTAAAAATAGGAAAGTGTTCCCACGATAATTAAATCCAGTATTAATTGAACATATGCGCACATGAGCAAAACTACGGAAACATTCCTTCACGTTGCTTTAGATAAAGAGGAAGGACGTTTGCTTTCATTTGTAATCTGCTGTAGAAATCCACTTTATGAGAAGGGCCCCTATTAAAGATTAGTTTTTTTATTGAGAGCATATTTACTGTAGGCCGTCCTTGTTCGAGTGTGGTCTTAAGTATTTGAAAATCGCAATTCGCGAGGAAACGAATGATCAGGAGTTCGTAATTTTTACTGGCAGTGCCAATGTAAGAACCTTTATAACTGTCATTTCAAATGACCATAGTTTTAATGAACCAACCAAATAATAATGAATACATTGAAATTCCAAAAACGTCCTTATGCTTAATGGATTCTGCCTTCACTTGAATTTTTATGGTTTTTTATATGAAAAATGGTGCCCATATGATTATATATACTGCAAGTATTGCACTTTTTTAATGTCGTCAGTCCTCTTGATATTCAAACTTATGAGGCACTTTACTCTTGCAATGTGTCTATCCAAGGAATCAACTAAATCCATTTCTATCTTAGATTTTGCTTCTCGAACAGGACAAACGAAAAATGGTCATCCGTTTCCTACATAATGTATTGAGAGATTTTGTCAAGTACCAATAAAATTTATCAGCTGTTAGACAGATTACTGCGCTACTTTTATGGAAAGTTTAGCTCAGAGATTAGTTTCGAGTGTTTGGACGTTGTATCCGTACTTATATTTGCCAATGAAAATTCAAAACTTCGATGGTTTGAGGTTAGGTTCTTGCTTGCACTTAATGTTTTTTTAAATGGACAATTTCTGTTTCGTCTAAACGCGGCGCGTCACGTTCGTACACTTTAGTTTACCAGATACAGGATTGTTGATGTTTGCAGTATTTAAACGTTCCACAACAAATGCCCACAATGGCATTCTTCGGGGTATCCCGGTTTCATTGCTGCGGTTTGAGATTTGCATTAGCTTGTTTTATTAATTTGCAAATAAAATTATCAGCCTCTCTCACCACCGATTTCAAAAACGAATTTCTACAATAAAAGTATTTCTATGATACTGGAAACAACACCATCTTTTTCTGTGCTACATACGTAAATATCGCACTTATTCTGCCTGTGGGGCTAGTTAGATTTTCTAGATGATTGATGCGTAAATACTCAAGTTTATTCTGTCAGCTCTAGACCCCAAATAGTGTTTGACCAATAATCTTAAAATCCTTTTAGATTATTATGATGTGGAAGCATTGCCAATTGAAACGAAGAGACGAGTCCCGGGAAGCAGTCTTAAAGGAGAAGACACGATCGCCGGGACAAGACCTCTATTACCCTCGTCAAGGCCGACAATGACTTGGTCATTGTGCCAGCGGACAAGGGGCGCTCCACTGTTGTGCTGGACAAAACAGACTACCTTCAAAAAGCCAACGGTTTACTGGATGACTGACAGTTCTATGTGCAACGAACCCTGTAAAAGCGCTGACACGCGAAATTAATGCTACGTTGTTGGCCTTGGAGAACTCAGGTGCAATAACACCGACCGACAGGCGCACGGCGAGACCCCAAGATACGGCTTTGGCCCGATTCTATGGCCTCTCTAAGGTGCTCCGCTCCAACGCATCGTGTCGCTCAAAGGTACTCCAACGTACGGACTGGCTAAGTGGCTGTTCCGGCGTCTCAAGTTCCTGACCGCTGAGTCAGACACCACGGTCTCTTCGTCAGCACAATTCCTGGAGAAACTCAAAGGGGTAAGCTTCCATCCAGATGAGGTCATGGTATCTTTTGATGTTACATCTCTTTTTGCTTCTATTCCCGAGGACCTGGCAATCGAGACAATCGAGCTGCTTCTACATAGCAAATACGATGAAACGGAGAATCGTCTTGGACGCGCCCAAGTCCTTCAGCTCCTGAAGTTCTGTCTCAGGACGTACTTCACGTTCGATGGGACAATCTACGAACAGGTGAAGAGCACACCAATGGGTTCACCGATTTCGGTGTTCATCGCCGAGGCGGTCCTGCAACGGTTATAATCGCTGGTCTTCCAACACAACAGACCCAAGTTCTGGGCCCGGTATGTGGATGACACCTTCGCCGTTATTGAACGGGATCAGGTGTTGAAATTCCAAGAACATCTCAACGCCGTCTTCCCGGACATTCAATTTACGATGGAGGAGGAAGAGAACAACCAGCTGGCCTTCCTGGATGTCTTCGTATGCCGCAAGGATTGTGGTGGACTAAAGACCAAAGTGTTCAGGAAAGCGACAAATACGATGCAAGTACTGAACTTCAACAGCAACCACCTAATCAGTCACAAGCGCAGTTGTGTAAGGACGCTCTATCGGCGTGTCGAAACACACTGCAATGAGACGGAAGACAAGATTACCGAACTACAATAACTCCGACGGGTTTTCAAAGCCAATGGCTACCCGCGCAACTTTGTCAACCGGTGCATACGCAAAAGGGACGAAAGGCCTAACCGCACGGACACCAAGTCTTGGCGGGCACTTCCGTATGTCAAGAACGTTTCGGAAGCTGTTGGCCGCCTTTTCGCACCACTTGGGGTCGGAGTTGCTCACGGGCCGGAGGCAACCATCAGGCGTCAGTTGATGAAACCAAAAGTCCCACTGCCACGGCAAGAAACGCCTGGGGTCGTTTATCGGATCTGGTGTAGTTGCGGACAAAGCAACTACATCAGAGAAACCGGAAGACAGCTCCGAACGCGAATGGCCGAACACGCTGCAGAGGTGTGGGGAAATGACGCCAGCTCTCAAGTTGCGGCTCATTCGACGGGTTCCGGCCACACATTCAACTTTGACGAGGTCGAAATTCTCGCAAGAGGTGACAACCGCGTGAGCCGGGAGCTGCTTGAGTCGTGGTTTACTGGTCCCCAGTCTATTAACAAGGGCAATGATCTTCCTATTCAATACAGCGTGCTGAGACTTCGTCAAGGCGGAGTAATTGGCCACGCGGGGAGCGCACTGGTGAACACTCTTCCAAACACCCGGGTCAGCGCGTCAGATGGTCGAGCAATCATCACATCAACATCCAACGCACGTGATGAAATTGCAGCAATTAACGTCGCGAATGTCAGCCATCATGCCACGTGCAACAATCCCTGACGAAGGGGAGGGAACCGTGAGTATTCATAGGTATGCGGTAGCATGGCTACTGCATCCCATAAATACTGCAGCCGCATGTGCATGAACCACCCTTGTCTGCTTATGTCTCTGATGATGGATTCGAGCAGGAATCCGAAACGTCAGGCTAATAAAGCTCTTGTCCCGACGATCGTGTCTTCTTCTTCTAAATATGGGATCAGTTGGGCGCAAACGCAGGTGGAATTCCATTAGGTGATTTGTGCTTAAATATATGTTTTTGGTTAAACTTATCCTAACTGTGTCACTTTTATCCTATTCATCCATATGGTTATGTAGTAAGACAAAATAAGAAAGACGGCCGAACGATATATAAATTTATTAGATGCCCATAGTTAAATCGTGCCACCAGTCAAATCCGGTAGTGATCAATACTTGTCACAGTTGCGCAGGGTCGACTAAGACCCCACAAGCACTGACGACGTTGAGGGCCTCAGGAAGCAACTTAACACTGGACGCAAATACGAACGGAGAATCTAATATCTAATAGCTGTTTAGGCGATGGCATATGCGCGTTTACAGACTGGCTCTCAGTACTCAGGTCTATGACATGTACACGTTTGCTAACCTTTTTCAAAAATCATTTAAACTTTCCGGCACGACACATTTTGACTTTGTGCGTATAGCCGACTTTTATTGGCAGAATGGCATCACCGACAAAGACAATGGAGACTGGAATGGCCACTTCTGGCTTATTAGTCCTCGTCAGCCAGTCATACCCAACCCCGAAGTGTGGAACACCCGAGGCTCGAACTCGCGACCTGTTAGTTGGGAGTCCGCACCTCTAACCACTGGGCCACGAGCCCGTTGTCCTGTCGATTTTTGATCGGGAATATACAATGGTAGGGGCGTGGACTTCTAGCTAACAGGTCGCGAGTTCGAGCGTCGGGTGTTCCACACTTTGGGGTTGAGTATGACTGGCTGACGACGTCTAATAAACCAGAAATGGCCATTTCAGTCTCCCTTGTCTTTGTCGGTAATGCCATTCAGCCTATATGATGCGCCGCTGTGCGGCTGCTGGTTGGGCTCGACAGAGAGCCCGTAAGGCACAACGGAATGTAGGAGTTCCTTAAGGACGATCGATAAATGTCCCCTACCATCAAGAATTTTATTGCTTCACCCTTTTATTAGAGCATTTGGCCTGTCCCAGACACCGCCGACATCCTGGTAGGCAAAAACTGGCTTTGCACATGCTCGTTTTTAAAGGCATGCTATCGACCAAACTTTCCCTTTTGTTACTTCCTTTATGGATAACAACCCCTGGATCTTTATTTAAGAAAGTCTTACGGAATCTGTGATTACGAGTCAGCATCCAAATTATTTCTTTTTTACTGGCTGCAGGGCTTACCTGATATTACTATTAATGCTAAAACTTGTTGAGGAGTACTTTGCAAAGATCCATTTTTAAAGAGAAATCACGGTGTTTTTTAAACTGCGGCATTTATGCTTTGCTAGTTAATTGTTTTGAGCACTTCCTTTGTGTGAACTGAAGGGCATAGTAATGCATGTGTTAAACCTAAACGCTGGAGCAAGATTCAAGTAACTTAAATGACATGGAAGTGTATTCAGCATGCAGTGCCATTTATAAGCACGATTAGACAAAGAAGAAACTCACGTTTCATTTGGTTCAGTGAGTAGTTTTCTGTGCAAAAGCGGAAGAATTCTACAGTTAGTTGAAGAGGTCTGTTAAAAAGGAGAACGTCGATCCATTCCTATCTTGAGTAACTCTTTGCAAATAATCCCATTTTCCAGTCACTGAAAATTTGTATATGCTCAGGATTGGACCGCTTTTTGGAAATTTATTCAAATGTTGAATAATCTGAATTCTCCAATACACCATGCTATGCAGAGGAAGTTTGTAGTTACGTGGTTGTGAAAAACAAAATTTCAGGAGCATAATTCTAGACTTAGCTTCTGCTTTCTTGTATGTCATATTTTTTCCAAATCATTCCTTTTGTTCTTTGTGATTAATGTCAACATTCCTAAGATCTATTCTTGAAGAAATGACAAGGAGTTATTATTTCAGCCAGTTCCTTGCATTGACATATTTTGCATTTTCGAAACCTGTTATTATCCCTCGTATTTTGTCACTTTTATCCGCTAGTTTTATTCTCAACAGTCTGTTAGTTCTTCTCTTTGCTGCCAACTATTCCGCCCACTTGCACTGGGGTTTTTTTATTTGCCTCTTGTCATCGAAAGAACAGTTCCAGACTTGGTCTAGTGCCTGATTTAAAAAAGTCTTTGTCTGGTAGACGTCTTTTTCTTCTCACAACAAGTAAAAACGTCGCATTTTTCAATAGAATATTTTCTTTATTAACTTTAGATTTACGTTAATTTCTTCTGTTGGACAATCACTAGGATATAAGATTAAAATCATTCATCATTACACTTCTGCTCAATATCCTTTCAAGCAACTCTTTTAAAAAATTGACAACCACAGGAAAGCTAAAAATGACGGATTTGTAGAGACTATATGTCTTTACTTCTTTAGAGTTTGCTATCTAAAAACGACAATAACTTATCCCACATCGTCATATTTGCTAGCACTTTGTGATCACATTCTGTGTTTACCTAGATATGCCAACGGGTTCCGTAAATGATGTTCCATTACTTGTGAATTTGTAGACCTTCGACTAAATTCTTCGGTTATGGTGATTTTGATAATTTCTGCCTTATTTTCTTGACTTTGTCAGTTTGGAGAAGGAAGTCATTTCATCTCTTTTTATCTCGATACCTTCCACACGCGATTGACGTTGGTAGAGTCATTTGGCTTCGCTAGTTATAAAAACTTCTAAGAAATAATCCCTAAAATATTTGCATTGGCTGAAAACGCAGCGTGATAAGGCCTACAGCCCAAGCTTTGAGTATCAACGTAAAAATTTCCTTTTCTTTTCACTCTGGCCGTTTAATCACCCGGCTTCCAAGTAGAAGCAAAAAAGCATCCGTTTCGAACTCAGTATGTTTGGGCAAAAGATGGTAATAACTGATTTATGTGGCAGTACATGTATGGAATTACAAAATAGTCCCCAACAGCAGCTAGTGAACCAATCACTGTATTGTCAAAATTAAGCCAAATACCGTTGTTTTTACATTAACCACGTGGACATTTTAAAGGATATAAACCCAACCATATGATTTTGTACTTCCGGCCTGAGTAACTCTTAATGTTTTATGAACATAAATTAACCAGTTTCACCTTCTTATTCGACGTCATTCTAGCAGAAATTTCTGTGTTTCTAACGTTTTTTGATAAAAATCTAAAGAAGGCGAATTACAAATCACCATCTTCAACGGAGTTCATTTATTTATCCAACGCCTCAAGCACTTTATATGTAAACAAGTTATTTTAGTATATAGAAATTTACAATAAATGGTATAAGACTGGAGCTCTCGCTGCATGGTTTGGAATTTTCTTGAAATCCATCAGATCCAAGACGTTGGGTCCTCGTTGTTATTTTGGCATCTCCTCATCTTAAGGTTTTCTGTGACGTTTCCAACTACATTTGATAGTGTACACGGTTTCTCCTATTGTTGTCCCTATTTGTTCCACAGCACAAACCTTTCTTTCTGTTAGGCTGATAATAGTTCATTGTCCTTACATTCTCTCCTGTGTTTAAATACCTTGTCACTGGTTGCAATTGTTTTTGACCAAAAGTTTCTTCTCTGTGTCTTGGTTATCTATCCGGTCATCAGTTTGGCCTGCGGAAAGAACCTTTCCAATGGAAAAATTATTACCCGCGTACTGATTTTGACTTCAGTTTATAAGCTGATGTTTCGCTGAAGAAGTGTGAGGTCTCCGCTTCACTGACTTTGCTTTCCTCCATTTATCTCACCGGAAGTATACTTCGGATGTAAACAAAATCGCATAATTCGCC